GTAGCTTAAGTAAACAAAAGAAGACTGCAGAAGAACTTCACAACTTTAATGCTGACAAAAAATAGTGAAAGATTTTCAATCATCAGTCCAAATGGATACCGCAGCCAAAAAATCAGAAGAAGACTGAGACTTGGAAGAGCAGCAATGAAGGAATTAGAAAAGATTGTCAAGTGCAAATAAGTGCCACTGGAGACCAAGGTCAAGATCCTATAAATTACTGTATTTCCAGTTACTATGGGTGTGAAAGCTGGACTGCAAGCTGCAATTTCCAGGCCTGGTGTGGGGGCAAGTCCACTAAAGCTGCCTGGCTATGCACTAACCTAACACAAAAGGGTGCTGTGAGTGAGGCAATTACCTCATAAAGTGTCCTAAATTCCTCACATAAAGGATGAGATTAAAATACAAAATGGAATCCATCTTTCAGCCTATCCTCTCCTTTCTCTGTCCTGGATTTACTCAACAATTAAACTACCTAAAATACTGTCACACAGTTATTCAAACAGTGTAATATTCAGATGCAAACTCATATAAATTAAGAAATCTCAGTAGACATTATCTGTTGCACATCAAGTAGTGCAATTCAGGAGGCACAGAAAATGCCTACTGAGATTTCTTATGGCAATTTGCTTCCAAAAGTTATCCTGTTTGTATAACAGGATTTAAACCACTTCCTACTTTTTATCTATTTTCCTCACATCACACATGTTTAAAATCTGTACATGTTTTTCTTAGTATATTTGTTTCGAAATTAAAACAAACACAGGTTGTAGCCTGTTCCTAGAACAGTCTACTCTCTTCAAAGTATACAATATTATAGAATTGTATCTGGGTGTTTTGTTACAATTGTAATTTTTTTCCATCACATTTCTAATAATATGTAGCCTAGAACTGCTCTTTTCACAGCTTTTTAGACACTTTAAAAATTTTGAGAGATTTCCCACAAATTCTTTCTGGTATACAGTATTGGTTAAGTTACAATGAAGTTACAATGAAGTTACAATGAAAATATGTTAATTTTAAGGTGTGGCACCTTAAAATTAACATATTTTATTATGTATGAACTTTCTGCAAAAGAGAAATAGAATTGTATCTGGCTGTTTTGTTACAATTGTAATTTTTTTCCATCACATTTCTAATAATATGTAGCCTAGAACTGCTCTTTTCACAGCTTTTTAGAAACTTTAAAATATTTATTGAGAGATTTCCCACAAATTCTTTCTGGTATACAGTATTGGTTAAGTTACAATGAAGTTACAATGAAGTTACAATGAAAATATGTTAATTTTAAGGTGTGGCACCTTAAAATTAACATATTTTATTATGTATGAACTTTCTGCAAAAGAGAAGGGTTACGTTTTAAGCTGTTAAATGACTCCATGCTGCAGCATATTAAAACAGGGCTACTCCCTAGAAATTTGCTATTTCAACCCAGAAAAGGATGAGACCATATAGAAAAGGAAACTCTGCTAATCAAATTAAATCAGCCAGCTCCATAGTCCAATACATGGGAACAGTATGGACAACAGGAAAAATATTAAGGTATCCACCCATGTAAATACTTAGAACTCTGCACACAGCACGTCTGTGAGACAAGGAGGACAAATACTTGCAAAGGAGAACAAAGATGGCTAGACAAAGGAAAATGCAGACTACAGCAAAGTAACAGTGGGCCACTTCTGGTCTTGCTGGGGATTCAGTGGAAAAGAACGAAGAAAGAGCAGATGTGGGCATGTTTCCTATTCCCACGTGAGAGATGTGAGTGTGATCTCCACAAGGCAATTTCTATCCTTGGGGGAACACTACCAGCAGCAGTAATGTGGGATGGGAAGGGCAGAGGCATCATAACTGGAACCTGGGAATTTCATTGTATTGTGACACCCCAACTCCACCACCAGAGACACAAGGTAGGCTCATTCTTGTGGCTTCTCAGACAAACGAAAGACCCCTTACTCTCCCTGTGAATACTAGAGAAGGAATCAGTCCAGCTATGTAACCAAAAGGGGAAGGGGCCCTGTGGGGAGCTTTAGCTTTTTTGTGGTAAACCTGGGTTAGCATGGAGTAACTTGACAACATTCAATTAACTCACTCTACGGACAACTGTAGGTACACCCCAGGAATAGTGAACCACTTGGCCTCCATATGTTTTGTGGTTCAACTCATGGAAGCCTAAACCACTCTTGGGGTATAGCGAAAATTGTCTGTACAGTGAGCTAATTGCCAGAGACTGAACAATTTATCCCAGGCTAACATCAGGTTTCACACAGAAAAGCTACAGCTCCCACCCTTACTAGGGTTCTACAGCAAGAAGACTGGCAAAAGGCAGAATGCTAGTGGAAAATCTACAGAGCCCCCATCTTGTCACTTCCTCAGCAGACAAGGAGGACAAATACTTGCAAAGGAGAACAAAGATGGCTAGACAAAGGAAAATGCAGACTACAGCAAAGTAACAGTGGGCCACTTCTGGTCTTGCTGGGGATTCAGTGGAAAAGAACGAAGAAAGAGCAGATGTGGGCATGTTTCCTATTCCCACGTGAGAGATGTGAGTGTGATCTCCACAAGGCAATTTCTATCCTTGGGGGAACACTACCAGCAGCAGTAATGTGGGATGGGAAGGGCAGAGGCATCATAACTGGAACCTGGGAATTTCATTGTATTGTGACACCCCAACTCCACCACCAGAGACACAAGGTAGGCTCATTCTTGTGGCTTCTCAGACAAACGAAAGACCCCTTACTCTCCCTGTGAATACTAGAGAAGGAATCAGTCCAGCTATGTAACCAAAAGGGGAAGGGGCCCTGTGGGGAGCTTTAGCTTTTTTGTGGTAAACCTGGGTTAGCATGGAGTAACTTGACAACATTCAATTAACTCACTCTACGGACAACTGTAGGTACACCCCAGGAATAGTGAACCACTTGGCCTCCATATGTTTTGTGGTTCAACTCATGGAAGCCTAAACCACTCTTGGGGTATAGCGAAAATTGTCTGTACAGTGAGCTAATTGCCAGAGACTGAACAATTTATCCCAGGCTAACATCAGGTTTCACACAGAAAAGCTACAGCTCCCACCCTTACTAGGGTTCTACAGCCAGGAGACTGGCAAAAGGCAGAATGCTGGTGGAAAATCTACAGAGCCGCCATCTTGTCACTTCCTCAGCATGAGACCATCAGAAAATATGGCCAGAGTTGGGGGGAGGGGAAGAGTGGATGAGAAGAACATAAGAACTAGAGATACTGGAGAACAGTCACAACTTTTATTTGACATCAGTAGAGCCTTTATTTTCGGGCAGGCTTTTTCTCAGTGACTTTTCTAGGCCAGACATTCTCCATGTCGATTTCCCATTGATGAGTCCTCAGGTCAGTGACAATGAACAGATCACTGTAGGGCTGCTCCAGATTGCTATCTGGAGGGAGCAGGGGCTTTACTTGCATTGGGATAAGTAAATCATACTGAGGAAAAGGAACAGAAGGGTATTAAAACAGGAATACTTCTTTAAAAATTCAAACTTTTAATATTGTTTGTTTTAGTGTTGTAAACTGCCTTGGGTCTTCCAAGGAGAAAGGTGGGGTGCGTGGGGTAAATCAATCAATCAATCAATCAATCAATCAATCAATCAATCAATCAATCAATCAATCAATCAATCAATCAATCAATCAATCTGACTCTTGTCCTCTGAAGATGCCGGCCACAGAGACTGGCAAAATGTTAGGAAGAAAAACCTCCAGAGCATGGCCAAACAGCCCGAACAACCTACAACAACCAAATAAATAACTCTCTTTGGTGGTCTCCTGGAAAATGCTGCACTGAGGATGGACAAGCGACTGGGACAGCTCTCTGCACCATGGCCTTTTCAAGAAGCTGCTCTTGTGCCATGCTCCTTTGCTTTGCCCTCTTGACCACAGAAGACCCATTGACATCCAGTGGTAGCTAATGAGCCAGTCTGCTGAGTGAAATTATCACCAGCTGCTGTGTGGCAATGGAGGGCTGCCATTCTTTCCCTTATATTGAAATGGTTGAAGGTGGTACTGGAAGCAGCAAATGTCAGCATAGCGGAGGTGAGGATACCATCAGCAATCATTACACTGACACGGTGCTTACTGCACTTCCAGTGCTTAAAGCTACTGCCAGGAGTTTCTCCCTCAACTGGTACATAGTAGCTGCCAACCCAGTATAAACAGCTTACCATCTGGGATTCCTTCCATCATGGCTGCTCCTGCAGGCCTCACTAATGATTGGTTCTCTGTTAGAGGGTTGTCCTTGGAAAATCCAGAAAAACACAGGTGTCATGATGAGTAAAGGAAGAAGATACTATAAAGGGAGAAGAACATAAAGTACTGTAAAGTAAAGGGAGAACATACTGTGGCCAAAATCCTGTTGCTTAGCCATCTGGGATTCCTTCCATCATGGCTGCTCCTGCAGGCCTCACTAATGATTGGTTCTCTGTTAGAGGGTTGTCCTTGGAAAATCCAGAAAAACACAGGTGTCATGATGAGTAAAGGAAGAAGATACTATAAAGGGAGAAGAACATAAAGTACTGTAAAGTAAAGGGAGAACATACTGTGGCCAAAATCCTGTTGCTTAGCTTACTGTTAAGTAAAGGGAGAACATACAGTACTGTGGCCGAAATCCTGTTGCTTAGCACAGTAACTTATGACCAGAGTAAGTAAATTTGAATTAATTGAACTGACAGAGTTTACAATGATTTAATGGGCCTACTCTAGATGCAATGTACAGTACTACGGTAAGCAATGGGATTTCAGCCTGTTTCAGTTAACTGAGGCTCCTTAGACCTCTCTTTATGCAACTTGCTAAACTAGGGATTCTTCCTGTAGATTTCCCATTGATGAGCTGAGCAACAGGGAACAGATCACGGTTTGCCTGCTGCAAATTGCTGCCTACAGCCTATCTGAATTAGAATAATGAAATCAAAACCAAAGGGAAAGGGACAGAATAATGTGAAAACAGGTTAAATAAGACGAAAGCCACTGTGAAATGATCTTCAAGATTTTATTAAGTGTCTAGACCAAAGAAGGCAAGCTACTTCAGAAATACAGTTATTGTGACTTTTGTGTCCAAGACATCTGTTAAGACTGAAGCAGCAGTACTTTGTTTGTCTTTTTAATTTTCGGATGCCATAAAGTGGTGCCCATCCTTTTTTCTACTGAGTGTAGCCGTGCCGTAGTCTCTGTCAGCATGTCCATCAGCAACTCAAGCTGTAGCTTTAAGTAATTGTTCTCTTCCAGCAGGACTTTGTTTGCTTTCTTCAGGGCCTTATGGGGCGAATTCCTATCAGGAGATGAGTATAACTGCAGCAAAGGCATTCCCTGAGGTGCACCATCAGATTGCCACTCGCCATCTTGAAAAACAAACTTTGTTTTGTTCAGCTGAGCACATGGAGAGCCATAATCTATCCCCAGTTCTGATTGCCGGGTTTTGTAGTCCAACAGATAGAAAGTGGACAGGGAGGTTGCTTGGCGAAGGGGTGGCCTTCTGGGCAAAAATCTACGAGAGAAATGATCAGCCCAGTAGTCACGGATATCTTGCAGAATTTGAGAAATGCTTTCCATGACAAGAGGTGCTAGAGACGGAGGATACCAGTAGGAGACCAACCGAAGAAAGTTCTGGAATAGAAAGCCAATATGGGGACTATTACAGAGGGAGGTCAGACATTATACGCCATTGCTAACATTTAAAAGAAACCACTAAGAAGTAAAAATTGCATGCAACACTCTGAAGTATGTAACTGTCAAGATAACTGTTTGTTGTGATGTGATTTCACAACACTTTCAACAAATGGTGACTCCAGCAGAGTTTTCAAGATACATGAGACATTAAAGCACTGATTCTTAACCTTGGTTTACTCAGGAGTTTTGGACTGCAACTCCCAGAAGCCTTCACCACCAGCTGTCCTGACTGGGGTTTCTGGGAGTTGCAGTTCAAAAGCATCTGAGTCTCTGATGGCAGCGGGGGACCCCCGGGGAGGTCTCCCAGGGTCCCCCGCCACTGCGATCGGCATTAAAGGAATGGTTTACCATGAACCACTGCATTAAAGGAATGGTTTACCATGGCCACCTCCCAGTGAGTCTCCTAAATTTTAGCTTGACTCTCTGCCCACTACACTACAGCACACTGACTTTCTCAAGATAACTATTTGGGAAAATAAAACTTGCTAATTCTTATTTTTTCTTGTCATAGCATTTTTATCAGTAAAGCAGGACATAGAGGAAACATGCACTTATGTTAGAGTAAACAAAGCTGTATACAGATAATGTTATGGAACCCACTTATTTATTCCTTTTTTTGACATACTTATATGTAATTTTTCAGGTGTACAATCTCCACATGCCATTTATGAAATTTTGAAAAGATGCAGTATCTTTTATTCTGCAAAAAGGGTGACAAACCTGTTACTCAAACGTTGAATCTATAAAATCATGGACAAAACAGAAGTCTTGATCTGGAGCCAAACAAGGGTGGCCGTTTTTGCCTCATCAAGGATAGATGAAAGGCATCACAGCAACATCAGTCTATGCATCTCCTGATTTATTTGTAGACATGCACATTTAGAAATAATTACTGTAACTTAAAATCAGGCTTCCCCCAATATGGTACCCTTGAAATTGTTTGAATGGCAACTCCCATCAGCTCTGTCCAGCCTGATCAATGGGACAGGAAAAGAAGGATTTGTCCTCTATGCCAGTGGTCCCCAACCTTGGGCCTCCAGATGTTCTTGGACTACAACTCCCAGAAGCCTTCACCACCACCTCTGCTGGCCAGGATTTCTGGGAGTTGAAGTCCAAGAACATCTGGAGGCCCAAGGTTGGGGACCACTGCTCTATGCTATCTGGAAGACATAATGTGGGAGAAGGCTAATTTGGATAGGAATACATGTTACAAAACTAGAGAAGACCAAGTGACCTCCACATCTGCCTGCTCAATGTGGTGTCTGGGTGCTAACTGCTGAAGCATCACTTCAAAGTCCCTGCTCTCTTTATCTTTTATCTCATGCCCCACATGCCCTGTGACAACCATGAGAGGATTTTTTTTTAATTTAATGACTTATCCAAGAAGAGAAATATCCTCCTTGTCAAATACAGAATTCTGTTTTGTTTATTTAAAAAGGCCACAAAGCAACACAGAACAGGACATACACAGACAGCCATCCTAGGCTGAAAAAGTGAAGTCTCCAGAAAGGCATCTCTGAGCTGCAGGTTTCAAGTTATCACAATACAAAAAAAGAAGAAAAGGCTTGCCTCAGGCAGCCCACAAACACAATAAAAATGTTTCTGATGGAGATCTTAGTAGCTGGGCATACACTGGAACCTTGACTTATGAACGTCCCTATCTACAAACATTTCGACTTACAAACGCCTCCATTCGCAAAAATTTGCGAATGGAGCCTCGACCTACGAACAAAAACAAGGCAGGGGAAAAGGGTGGGAAATTCAAATTTCCCCTGCCTTTTTTGTTCCATTCAAACTGTTGGCTCTTTTACCCCAATGGTTAGGAAAAGGGACCCCCAGGAGGTCTCCAATGGCAGCGGGGGACCCCCGGAGATGCCACCGCGATCGGCGCCTTCAAGCTTTCCTGGTGGGGTAGACCGGGCCTACCAGCAAAAGCTCTCCCCTGATAGGCCCGGTCTACAAGGCTTTCCCGGGGGGGTAGACTGGGCCAATCAGGGGAAGCTCTCCCCTTGTAGACCCAGTCTACCCCCCTGGAAAGCCTGAAGGCACCAATCACGGTGGCAGGGGGCTGCCAGGAGGTCTCTGATGGTGGCGGGGAAGCCCTGGGAGACCTCCTCAGGGTCCAATCATGGCAGCAGAAAACGGCAGGAAATTTAAAAGTGCTCCCCTGCCGCCGTGATCGGCCCCCCAGGAGGTCTCTGATGGTGATGGGGAAGCCCTGGGAGGTATTCCTGCTGCCTTCGGAGACCTCCTGGGGGTGCCCCGCCATTGCGATCGGACCCCCAGGAGATCTCTGGAGACCTCCAAAAGCGCCAATCGCAGTGGGGGGGACCCCCAGGAGGTCTCCGATGGTGGCGGGAAAGCCCTGGGAGATCTCCCAGGGGTCTCCCGACGCTGCGATCGGAGGCAGCAGTCACCCAGCCCCGGGAGGCTTGAGCTGGCTGGGTTTCTTCGGCCGCTTGCCTCCCGGCTCGCCTCCCGCTCGCTCCTCACCGCCCTCCGCCATTTGAATTTGCTGCCATGGGTCCATGGAGGGTGGCGCCGAGCAAGCAGGAGGCGAGCCAGGAGGCAAGTGGCCAAAACCCGGCCAGCTGAAGTCTCTCGGCACTGGGCGACTGCTGCCTCCACCAGGGGCAAGTGGCTGAAGCACCCTGGCCAGGGTCAAGCCTCACAGTGGTGGCAGTAACAGCAGCGGGGGACCCCCAGGAGGCTTCGGAAAGGTAAGTGCTGCTTTTTAAAAAAACTGTTCTGGGTGGCTTTTGCAGGGTGGGTTTGGTCTGGGGGGTTATGTTTCTGTGCTTTGTTGTTTTGTTTTCTGGTGATTTTTATCTATTTTTTTTCAGTCCCAGTGCAGGACCTGCTCCAATGTTCATTTGGATTTTTAATTTTTTTAATTTTTGCAGTCCCGGTGTGGGTCTTGCAGTTTGGGAGTTTTTTTTGTGTGTTTTTTTTCTTCTCCCGGAATGCATTAATCAGTTTTCAATTAATTCCTATGGGAAATGATGCCTTGACCTATGAACTTTTTGACTTGCGAACACCGTTCCAATACAGATTAAGTTCATAAGTCGAGGTACCACTGTATCTGGGTTCAAAGTCTTCCTCATCAAGTGTGAAGGAAGGAAGGAGGAAGATAACACAGTCCTTTAGGTCTCTAGCAGTTTCTTGTAAGGTAACAGTTTCCTTATGACTGACCACACTTCATTCTGAACAAATTAAGGAAATAACCACAATGTTTGTATCTGGCTTTGTGGTAGGAAGGAGACATCGAACCGAGCTGTTGCCTGTAATGATTATTATAATGTGTAAATAGATATGCTGTACATGAGCTTTGTACCTAATTTAACAACAACAGCAACAATCCTAAACTGTTATCACGGCATCTCCCAAGAATTCTGGGAAATGTAGTGAAGGTTCCTGAGAATTATTGCCTCAGGGTTTCTCTTCCCCTTATATGCAAAGCAATGGTTACCAGGGAGAGGGAATTGCTGTTAAACCTGGTTAGGCCTATGAGTATATCTCTTGTATCAATTGTTTATGGGATTACATGAGGAATTAACAAAGGCAGGTATCTATTCATTGGTCCAGGCTGGCACTGCCATTGTCACATCACGAATATATTGAATGTTTTCTTGTCTAAAACTGATTCTGGTTTAATAATGACAGGGAAATTAAGTGACAAGGAATGCTGCCTTAGCACCTATGGGGCTGGTCATACTAAAATTACTAAAATACCTACTTTACAATTCATAGGATCTTACTGATACCAAGAGAGGAGGAGCATGCCTCTATTGCAAGGAGGGCAATTTCTGGTCCTCCAGATGCTCTGTTCACTCCCATCATCTCTCACCACTGGTTATGCTGCCTAAGAGGCAGTAGGAATCTCATTGACCACACATTTTCCAATCCTAGACAATCCAAAATCTCCCTTTCTCTCCTCCTCCTCATTAACGACATTCTAGCGGAGGAGCTCTAATGAGGACAGTGGGAAGTCTGAACACGTAAAACAGAAACCATTACCTTGCTCCTCAACATATTCAATATGTCTTCGTCACTCAATGAAGGATTTTTTCCTCCTTTATGTACTCTTCTTTCTTTTCTACTCCCAAATTCCCAAAATGAGTGTTTGCATTAAAGATTCTGGGGCCCAGATTCAATGGGTCTTGAAACAAATGCATGTCTCCTCCCTTTGCACTCAGATCCAGATCTTGAAACAAATGCATCATGTCTCCTCCCTTTGCACTCAGATCCAGAATCCCAGTGGAAGAGCTGCATTCCATTCATGGCAAGGCAAGGCAAGTACCTCACCCTGAAATAGCAGGATAAACATTCCATTCATGGCACAGGACCATCCCGTGATTCAAGCGAGCCAAGTACCTCACCCTGAAATAGCAGGATAAAGTACTCACCCCACACAGAATGTAGGTTGCCAGTGGCATCATAGCATAATGGCAAGTATGATCATCTCATGATTGTGGGCAGTTCTGGACACCATCTTGGCATTCTGTGGAACTCAGTGGCCGGAGGAGCTGTTGAAGTTACCACAAACGGATGCCACATGAATAAGAACAAAAGAAAGATGGGAGGCATGCTAGGCAATCCACAAAGGATATTGCTACTTCTATGTTGGTTTACACACTTATATCTTAGCTTAATAAAGTTTCCCTGATTGAATTAGGACACCTTCACTTATTTAATCTATGGCCATAGGCTACCTTGCCACATCTCTTAAAAGCTGTTCTAACAAAGCCTATGTAGACACACCAACCACCACTCATCAAACTCACACACAGTTTTCTTCCAGTTCTCAAAAGACTCTGTTCACCAGACCGCACTTTGTTGTAGCTACTCAGATTCTTGCTCCAATTGAAACCTGTGATATAAACTGATTTGGGACTGGAAAGAAACTGTTGCTTTAGGGTACATGGATACACAGTCTTTGGTTATGCCTGACATCATGTTGTTTGCCTCATGTCATCATGTGGTTTCAATATCTCACAATTGCTTTTCCTGTTTTGGCCAATCATATTTTTGTAAGCAACTAATAGTGAAATGGCAGTATTTTTTATTTCTGTCTTCCGCCCACAATCATTGTTCTGCCTGAACTGATTAAAATTACTGTAATTTTTATTTCTGTCTTCTGCCCACACTCATTGTTCTGCCTGAACTGATTAAAATTAACTGTTTAATTAATTTACTGCCTACATAAACCTTGTATTTTGCAAAGGACTCACAGTGCATCTCTCTGGCATAACATATGCATTAATTTATTAATCATCCACCTTAGAAGTAAGAAATATCAGGTGATGAAATCATAGGACGGACTCAAGGCTGTGGCTTCCTTGATGGCGTCAATCCATCTCTTATTTGGTCTTTCTCTTTTCCTGCTACCTTTAACCTTTCCCAGCGTTATTGCTTTTTCCAGAGAATCTTGCTTTCTCACAATGTGCCCAAAGTAGGCCAACCTCCATTTCAAAGTTTTTTGCCTCCAGAGATAGTTCAAGCTAGATTTGATCTAGAACTCACTCATTTCTCTTTCTAGCAGTCCAGGATATCTTTGCAAAGTTCTCCCTCAACACCAAATTTAAAACAAATCACTTTCTTTTCCCTTCACCTTTCTTCACTGTCCAGCTTTCACACTTAATACATGGTGAATGGGAATACAAGAGTGTGGATGATCTTGGCCTTGGTCTCCAGTGACACATACTTGCTCCTTGTTATCTCTTCTAATTCCTTCATTGCTGCCCTTCCAAAGTCAGTTTTCTTCTGGTGTCTTGGCTGCAGTCTTGATTTGGATTGATGCTTGAATTTTCATTGTGCTATGTCAAAATAAAAGCATATTTGCAAGATTATTTTTAATAATCTATTCACTAGTTACTTGCTTAGGTTAAGTAAACATAAGGATGGGAGCATATTAGCTCTCTCTTCACAAAGACAGTGAATCTGAAGGACAGAACCTCCACTAACTACAGTATAGATTTCAAGAGACACTTCTCTTCACACAGTTGCTCTGCCCACATGGAGAATGACAAGTGAGGGAGCTGGCTAGCACACTCTTCTTGGGTATTTCCTTAGATAAAAACTGTAGAAGGGAGTTAAGATAAAATTCAAGAGAGTGGCTTTTTTGTTTTGTTTTCACAAGCAGTAACTAATTAAATAACTGTTTATGTTTTGCAAACTGATGCTCTTCCTCTTCACCTACGGCCTAGCATTGTTGACTATTTGTATGCTAGTTTATTAAGATAAAAGGAAGGATAAGACAGAAGGACCCTTTTGCTGTTCAGGATGAACCCCGCAGAACCTCCAGGGAGCAAGGATGCTGCCCTCTTTTTCATCTCCCCCTCCCTGTTCACTATCCCTTGAGTCTCCCTTGGGCACTGTCACATCTTCAGTTTTTCTCCTTTGTGTCTCTGTTTGCATATATGAATGTGTGATTCCCTTTTCCCCAAAACCTATAATTGTTTTAAAGGGAGTGGGGCATGAGATTCCCATCATGTGACAACCTGCCCTTGACAGCCGTGTGCACACCCACACGCAGCAGATTAAAACAAAGAAAAAAGTATTGCAATTTGGGTGTGTGCTAAAAGTGAGCTCGTGCCCATTTGCAGCTAACCCCACTGATAATAAATTTTCTCTGGTTTATTGCATAAATGCTGTTCCAGGATCAGATGCAGAGTTTGCACTAAGGTTTAGGAATATGCCACTCTCCAGATCCTTCAAAACAGCAACTCCCACCATCCTTCACTTTTGGCTCTGCAGCCAAGGATGGAAGAGAGCAGTTTAAAAAAATCTGGAGGACTGCAAATGTGCTGCAAAAGTCTTCCTCTGGAACAAGCTGTCTTGATAAAAAGAAAGGTCTCCCTTTCATCCCTTAACCCAACATATAGATCAGATGTGTTGGATGGAGATAAAGGGAACTGTAGGCTAAAACTGGAGGCTACCAATTTTGGGAGAGCTAATGTTGAGCACTGTGAGACCGGGGGGGGGGGGGGGGGGGGGTAGCCCTCTCACTCCACTTCCCAGACAGGGACATAAACTGGAGTGCGGTTCTTTGCACCCAGGTGGAATTGCCTTTAAATCCAATAAGCTATGTTTCAGATAAACTAAATATGCAAAGTAGTGGACAGTCATTTGTGAAATAAATTTAACCAATGGTTATATGAACAAAATGACGTTCGGTTGCTACTTCCACAAATGCACACTTTTCAGGTTTGCCTTAATATCAATTTAAATAGCAATATGAATATAAACTTAAAATATTGCCTCCTATTCTGTTTCTGAAATAAATACTGGAAATCATTTTCTATAACCACTTTGCACCTTTGAATCTGATCTCTTCCCATTCCTCTTCATCTTCTTTCTTCACTGATCTGGATGTTTTTCTGATCAAAGTGTTACTTAGACCAGTCTGACCTACTTCTGCCCTGCAGCTGGCCCCCTTTTGTTATGGATGCAGCTACTATGGCAACCTGTGTAACAAATCTACATCACAAAGAGGAGCTTCACATAGTCTTAGTTCCATTGATTTTGGGGGGATTCACCATAGGCTGGTAGACTATCTATTCATGCACTGGAAAATACGGTGATGCTCAGTATGATCCCAAAGCACAAAGGATACAAGTATTTTTCTGAAATTGTAATTAATTAATCCAAAGGAGCATCTGCATTAGGCTTATAACAGAATAAACAACAACAAAGGACCTTAATCTTCATGTGCTAGAATTAAACAAACAAACCCTGCACCATGTGAGTCCTAAGGTATTTTCTGACCTCAATGACATGTCCTGTGTATTAAAATTATTAAAATATCCCATGTCCAAAGGAGTTTTTTTCTGCTCAGAATCAGGTGCATTAAAGCTCTACCTAAACACCAACAGTCAGAAAATTCAGGTAGCATTAAAAAAAGTACTGTAACACAAACATGCAATATGATACACAAATACAATTCAAAGCTAAGGGCCACAAGTTTGAATCCCCAAAAGGGAGGCCAGCCAAGATCCCATGAAGATTCAGGCCCTTTGTTGTTTTTTCTGTAATAAGCCTAACACAGTTGCTCCTTTGGGTTCATGTGTGAATCCAAAACTTCCAGTATGTGTGAATAGTGAGGCTGCATGCCCTGCTACCCATGCAACCTTAGGCAAGCTTAATTACCCCAGACTACCAGATGAAGAAGGATTTTCAGTGTGGTGTAGTGGATAGAGTGACAGACTAGGATTCTGGAGAACAGGTTACAAATCCCCCCTTTGACATGGAAATGAACTGGAGGAGCAAATGTGGTAAAGCTACTCCTTCAATATCCCACTTACCTTGAAAGCCCTCTTAGGGTCACTCTAAGTTGGTTCTGACTTGACAGTACAGAATACAAAAACACACAAACAAAAGGAGGTAAATCCCCCCTGCTACTTTATACAGAGAAAATTCTACAAAACACACAAACAAAAGGAGGTAAATCACCCCTGCTACTTTATACAGAGAAAATTCTATGTAGATAGCCGTGTGTCAGAAATGACTTGACAGTTGTTGTTACATGTTATCGAGTCAGAATCAACTTATAGAGAAGCTGGTTGAGTGGGGATTCAAACCCTCTTCTCTAGGGTTCTAGTCCATCACTCTATCCATTACACGACACAGGGTCCTCATGGACATTAACCAGTGTGAGGTAGTATTTCCCAATTGCCTACTGTGCAATTCTAATTTCCCCTAAATGGAATCAACCTACAAATGAGGAAAGAATATGTCAGTATTTGTGCTCCCCTTCCAATGTCATATAATGACCTACACTGCAGGTTCTGTTTTCTTTAAGATAAAATTGCATTTGAGAGAATAATATGTCTCATTGCAGTGCATGAAGGCTAAAGAGCAATGGATTTATTATTGAATAAGCTTTTGTGGACAAGAATACAGTATATTCCACCAGATATATTAAGCTAGCTAGATAGCTCAGTGATTTGGGCACCTGGCTGTGAAACCAGAGGTCAGGAATTGGATTCTCCACTGTGTCTCTTGGCATGCTCTGGTCCATGGGCTCACAAAGAGTCGGACACGACCAAACGACTAAACAACAACAAAATCATTATACTATATGACTTATTGCCATTTGTAAACTGGATGCTTCCTAATTTAGGAGTATATGGCATGCAGAAGAATCATAACTCTAGATGGAACACATGCACATTGTTCATTAAAATTGAATGTTACATCATAGGCATCCTTCAGTCTTGAGAGACTATGGTAACATGCTCTGAATCGAGGAGTATCCTCTCCAGAGCATGTTACATAGCTATCACTTTAATAAGATATGCCACATGATTTAAAAGATGACAATGTGGCTATAATCCAGACTTTATATTTGTTAATGATCTAATAGATGATAGACATTAACTCAAAACCCAAACCTACAAAGACTCAAAATGCCAGCTGCAGGGGTATCAGGAGACAGGTCTCTCGTTGTCTCGTGTGCTCACAGAGGCATCTGATGGGGCCACCATGAGATACAGGAAGCTGGACTAGCTGGTCCCTTGGCCTGATCCAGCAGGGCTTTTCTTATGTTCTTAAAGAAACTCAATTTGTTCCTTCCATCTAAGAAATAAGCAGGCATCCTGGAAACTTCAGGTTATGACAGGGCATCCAGCTAGATCTGTGGTTCCCAACCTTGGGTAACGCTTGTGTTCTTGGACTGCAACTCCCAGGAGCTTTCACCACTAGCTGTGCTGGTTGGAGTTTCTAGGACTTACAGTCCAACACCACCTGGGTTACCCAAGACTGGGAACCAATGAGCTAGAACATTCTCTGCCCCCTCCATACCCCGGTGTTACTTTGGATTGCAGACTTATGAGCAACACTGCCAAAAGACAAAGCAAAAGGTCTCTGCAAAGAACAATATTCTTCATGAACTATCACGAATTAGCTGGGACCAAACCACAAACGCTAAGAATTATAGCTACTCTG